ACTGTGGTACCGGGGCAGGAGAGGCCAAGATGGGCCATATTCACCTCCAAACGGAAATGAGAAAGGTGGCCAGCCCACATTTCTACCAGCAACATAAGGAAAAGTCCCTTCTCTGTTCTAGTTTTTTTAAAATCACATACATCAAGGGGCACCTGGGTGGTTCAGCGTCCAACTCTTGATTTCGGCTCAGGTCATGATCTTGGGGGTTGTGAGATTGAGCCCCGCGTCGGGCTCTGCACTGGGCATGGAGCCTGCTTGAGGATTCTCTCCCTCTCTCTCTGCCCCTCTGCCCCCCACCCCTGAAAAAATAAATAAATCTTTCAAGTCACGTACACGGCTTGTTACTCAGGTTGGTGTTACACTCGGAAAATCGTTCAGGATGCCTCTGATTTAGAGACATCAGACTGTCACCTGCGGTTGTCCGAGGAGGAGGCTCTTGTGCTGGTGACTGGGGTGGGAGGAGGGGAGAGAAGCAAACCAAAGCCAATCTGCCTCCAGGGCCACTGGTCAGGACTATGGGACCTCTCCTCGTCTGGGCCCCTCCTTCCGCAGTCAGGTGATCGCAGTGCCAGGAAGGCTGTCGCGATGAGCCAGGACCTCGGACATGGAGCAGCAGACAACCTCCAGCTCACTTGGCGCAAACTCTAGAGAGACGACTTGGGGTCAAAAGAAGACTCCATCTGAGTTTCTTACCAATTCCCCAAGGAGGAGGGGAAGTGGAAAATGTGGCTAATAGGACATCGCATTCCCTGTGGGATGGGAATGTCGGTGACAGCCTGAGGGCCTGAGGCTTCTCTGAGTCCGCTGGTCTCTGGGTCAGGCCTGATTGGGGGACCAACAGCCCCTGGGATAGGAGAAGCAGAGCCCAGGAGCTCTATTGAGAGGTGGGGAGCCAGGAGTCGCTGGTTCCCTTTGGTGGAGACCACACTCAGTGGCTTAAAATCATCCAGCAGCCTGGCAGTTTTAAGTCTCACTTCCCGCTTATTGTCTGGACCCACGGGGCAACATCAGGGAGCTCAGGCTGTGGAAAATTAGCTACAAGCTTAATTGGAAGTGATTTGAAGCTATATCATTCCATATCTTTCTCTCCACCCTCCCCTCCCACCTTGTCCCTATAGTGGGAAGTCTGAATGGTTCTTGGAATGTTTTTTCCCAGTGCAAAGAAAACCAAGCGATCTCCTGATCAAACTTGCCTGTAGAATAGCCAAGCACTCACCTGGGAAGGTGGGCAAAGGGTTTTCACCTCAATAAAGCAGGAAAGATACAGTCAGGCTCGGTTTGTGACAAAGCAGCTTGCCAGACCTCTCCTATCCCCCTTCCTCCCCCAAATACCCGAAGGATTAAATGACTCTGATCTTGGTGGGAGGGAGACAGGGGCAGTCCATTCCAGGCTCCTGCCCAGCCACGTGCCAAAGCCCAGAGCTGGTTGCACAACCCAAGCCTAAAACTGTTCACATCCGTAAAAAGCTGGGAGGCTTCACCGACAGCACTCTCTGCTGGGGTCTGTTCATTATCTGGGGTCCTCTCAGGAGGAGGTCAGGGGCTTCTGAAGTGACTCAGAAGGAACACAGCTGCTCTTCTGCTCTGCAAAGTCCGTGAACATGCTTGCTCAAGCTTCTGAGAACTGTTTTTAGTAAGTTTTTTTCCGGTTAAAAAAGAATATATGCTCATTCCAGCATTGCTAGTAATAGCCCAAACCTGGAAACAACCCACGTGTCCAAAAGCAGTAGAATGGATACATATATTAGCCATACAACGGAATACTATACAGTGATCAAACTGAATGAATACTATACAGTGATCAAAATGAGTACTGGATACAGTGATCAAAATGAATGAATATAGTGATCAAAATGAATGAGCTTTGTGTGAGAATGTTGAGCAAAAAAATAGAAGACACAAAAGGAAGATAGAGTGTGAATTCCATTGATGTAAAGCTCAAGACAGGCAAACTATACCATTTTGTTTAGGGATGCATACATGAATGGTTTCGTAACAAGCAAGGAAGTGACTGAAGGGGAAGAAAGTTTTGGGGGCGGTTTCTGGTGTGCTGGAAATGTTATACTTCTTGCTCTGGGTAGGTTTTTGTTCTTTGATGTTAGATTGTACTTTGTATTTTAGGTAATTTTCAGTATGCATATTTCAGAATACAGTGTTTTTTAAAAGTTAGATCCAAAAAGGTCTATGCCTATGATTATCTTTGCCTTTTATGAATCAAATGCAAAAGCAAATCTAATGTACACTGAAAACTACAAAACATCACTGAAGGAAATTAAGGACGACCTAAATAAATGGAAAGACATCCCATGTTCATGGATAAGAGGATTTAATATTATTACAATAGCGTTATCCCCACAATTAATATACAGATTCAAAGAAATCCCTATCAAAATCCCAGCTGGCTTCTTATTTTTTCTTTTTAAAGAAATGCTAACACTGACCCTCAATTGATACAGCATTGCAAGGGGCCCCAAACAGTCAGAATAATATTGAAAAACAAAAACAAATTGGAGGCCTCACACTTCCCCATTTCAAAACTTAACTACAAAGCTACGGTAACCAAACACTGTTGTACTGGGAAGGAAGGAAATACAGGTGTAAATCTTCATGAGCTGGGACTAGGCAGTGGGTACTTGGATAGGACACCAGAAGCACAGCAACCAAAGGGGGAAAAATAGGTCCATTGGACATGAGCAAAATAAAATTTTTTGTACTTTAAAGGAAATAAAAAATCATATCTGATTTTTTGATATAAATATTGATATTGATATACATATCAGTATCACATATGTATATATTGTATATGTAAATAAAAATATTGATATTTTTATGATATAAAAATGATCAAGAAAGTGAAAAGACAACACAGAGAAGGGGAGAACATTTTTGTAAGTCATATATCTGATGAAAGTCTGGTATCCAGAAATATAAAGAACTCCTACCCCTCAAAACCAAAAACAAACAAGAGGCAAGGGAATGGAATAGGCAGACACTTCTTTTTTTTTTTAAAGATTTTATTTATTTAACTGACAGAGAGAGAGACAGAGAGAGAGGGAACACAAGGGGAGTGGGAGAGGGAGAAGCAGACTCCCCGCTGAGCAGGGAGCCCGATGCGGGGCTCGATCCCAGGACCCTGGGATTGTGACCTGAGCCGAAGGCAGTCGCTTAACCAACTGAGCCACCCAGGCGCCCCTTCTCCAGCAAGGATATGCAAAGAATCAACCAACACATGGAAAGATGTTCCACATCACGTTGAACTAGAGAAATGCAAATCAAAGCCACAACGAGACACCACTTCACACCACCAGGATGCCTAGAATCAAAAAGACAGATAAGACAGCGCCTGGGTGACTCAGTTGGTTGAGCGACTGCCTTCCGCTCAGGTCATGATCCTGGAGTCCCAGGATCGAGTCTCGCATCGGGCTCCCTGCTCCGCGGGGAGTCTGCTTCTCCCTCTGACCCTCCCCCCTTTCATGTGCTCTCTCTCTCTCTCTCATTCTCGCTCTCTCAAATAAATAAATAAATAAAATCTTAAAAAAAAAAAAACAGATAAAAAGTGTTAGGAAAACGGAGAGAAATTGGAACTCTCCTGCATTGCTGTAGGAATATAAAAAGTTGCAGCCAGTTTGAAAAACAGTCTGGCAGTTCCTCAAAAATTAAACACAGAGTTACCATATGACCAGCAATTCTATTCCTAGGTACATACCCAAAAGAATTGAAAACATGTGTCCACACAAAAACTTGTACACAGATGTTTATAACAGCATTATTCATAACAACCAGAAAGTGGGCTATCAACATAAAAAAATAACAAATGTGGTATATCCATACAATGGAATCTTGCTCAGCCATAAAAAGTAAGTGAAGTATTGATACAAGCCACAATGTGGATGAACCATGAAAACATGCCAAGTGAAAGAAATCAGTCACAAATGAGGACTTACTCTCTGATTCCATTTATGCGAATGCCCGGAATGGGCAAATCCACAGACACAGAAGGAGGGCTAGGGATCGCCTGGGGGCCGAGGGGAGGGAGTAAACGGGGAGTGGTGACTACTAACAGTTCCTTTTCCCGGTGATGAAACCCTTGGGGAATTAGATAATGACGGTTGCACAGACTTCTAACGGTTGCACAGACTTGCGAATACACTATAAACTATGGAATTGTACACTGAAAGGGGCCAATTTTATGGGATATGAACGGAAACTCAATTAAAAAAAATACGAAATTTTCAAAAAAGTAAAAACCAGTAGATCGGGAATTAATATTTCATTAAAAAAAAAAAACCTAGTAAGCTTGACGTTACAAAATACCGTGCTCATTGTAAGAAAAAATGAAAACACTCCCTTCCCAAAGTAACCATCACTACCCTGTGAACAGTCCGGGTACCGCCGGATAAGGAAGGATGATCACACTCCACGGTTATTTGTTGCTAGTGGAAAGAATGCCTCCGTCCCTCACCCAACACACACACCGCACACCAGCTGGCTGAATGGAAGGTAATACTAGCCCTAAAAATGCCAATCCTTCCCTCACCAGGACGGGACGTCCTAGCCATCTGGCTAAGGCAGGGGTGGCCCTGGCGCGGCAGGCGGGGAGGAAGGTGCCCGGGCAGGTCGCGGGGACGCGGCAGGGGACGTGGGAGCCACAGGGTGGAGCCTAGAGGGCGTGGGGGCGTGGCTCAGGGTGGAGGCTCGGGGTCCGGGCGCCGCGCGAGGGCCACGCGGTGGGCCCTGGAGGGCTTGGGGGCCGGGGCCGTGGGCGGGGCGCGGAGGGCCCGGGCCGGGGCGGAGCGCGGGGCGGAGTGCGGAGGACGCCGGGAGGGAGAGGGGCACGCAGAGGGCCACGCGGAAGGGGGCGGAGCGTGGGGCGGAGCGTGGGGCGGAGCGTGGGGCGGAGCGCGGAGGGCGGAGGACCCCCGGACCGGGGTTGGGCCGGGCGCCGGAGGCGGGGGCGGAGTGCGGAGGGCGCGGGGGCCGGGGGCCGCGGCCGAGGGCGGGGCACGGGGCGGGCCGCTGGCCCGGAGGGACCGGGAGGGGCCGGGACGCGAGCCGTGGGCGCATCGGTGCCCAGACGGCAGCGGCGGGACAGCCGCACGCGCGTCCCGGCCTCTGTCCCCGCGGCGCCGCGGCCCCGGCCCCCTGCCGGCTCGGCCATGCAGCTGCCCGCGCCGCCCACCGAGCTGGTGCCGTCGGAGCGCGCCGTGGTGCTGCTGTCGTGCGCGCTCTCCGCGCTCGGCTCCGGCCTGCTGGTGGCCACGCACGCCCTGTGGCCCGACCTGCGCAGCCGGGCACGGCGCCTCCTGCTCTTCCTGTCGCTGGCGGACCTGCTCTCGGCTGCCTCCTACTTCTACGGGGTGCTGCAGGACTTCGCGGGCCCCTCGTGGGACTGCGTGCTGCAAGGAGCGCTCTCCACCTTTGCCAACACCAGCTCCTTCTTCTGGACCGTGGCCATCGCCCTCTACCTGTATCTCAGCATCGTCCGCGCGGCGCGCGAGCCTCGGACCGGCCGCCTGCTCTGGGCCTTCCACGTCGTCAGGTGCGTGGCTGCTGCGCCGCTTCCCCTCGAGCCCCCGACCCCCACCTGGGCCCTGCTTGCTGCTCTTGTGGCCCTCGCGTCGTTCTGGCGCCCCCGTCTTGGTCGGACCCCCGGCCGGGGCCCCAGAGGGTCTGCTCATGTTCCGAGGCAGTCGGGGGGGCCGGCGGGAAGATGCGCGCGGAGAGGTGGACCTGCCCAGAGCATCAGTGCAGAGGGCGCCCCTTTGTTGCCTGCCCGAGCCCGAACCTCCCGGAGAGGTGGGGGGCCAGAGCTCGGCCCTCATAACTTGGAAGCACCGAGAGATGGCGAGGACGCCTTATGCCTTTTGCCTCCTGCTTCCCTGTGTTCTGGCCGTTTCTGCTGCCCATGGGGAGAAGCTTCTCCTTCCCGGGCTGCGAGATCAGTTAGGTGCTGCTCCAGCCTGGAGAGGGGGGCTGCTCCCAGTCGCACCCTGTGCCACAGTAGGTGTGATGCATTCAGCCACTCCCGGGCTAGCTGCCCGCGGCCAAATGCAGTGTCTCAGCTGTAAGATTTACAGAGTATTGTCTTCATGATTTTGTGCATCTCTAGACCCAGACGATCTTGACTTTCTAGGGTTTGGTATCTCTGAGGGTGAGGTCAGTGGCAGGGTCTGGTCTGGAAGAGGGCCCCCAGCTGCCTGGAGTCTATGAGAGTAGAGTCAACTGAGGGCTTTGCCCAGCCCTGGCATTAGAGCACCTCATCAGGTAACCCTCACCTATGAAGGTTGACTCGTTCCTGGTGTAATTCCAAGATCTGAACGTCCATGGTGTCCTGCACTTCCCTCAAGGCAGGAATCTTATAGGGCCTGTTTCCCCTTGTCCATCTCCCAGATAAAAGCACCAAATACTGTCCTAATTATAGGACCTCTCTGTTAAATGCTTGAGTGCTTTCCATGGGACTGAGGACAGTCAGCACTTTGGTAGAGACAGGTCACCTGGGTGTCGCAACGGTGAGATCACAAGCCTCCAAGAGTCACTTGACCTCTAGGTCTCAGAGCTGCTGGAGGAAGGCCAGCTGGTCCCTGGGAAACAAAGTGGCCTGCTTCTCAGCTGTTCATGTCAAAAGTTTTGCAAGGAGCCAGACAGTACCTCAGATGCTGCAGAGATCCACAGGGGCTGCCTTTCTTCCCCTTGTGGCATCCCCCCGGCCCTGGCCTCTGTGTATTTCAGAGACCCAGTCCTTGGCAGTCTGGTTGGGTGTGGGCAGCATGTACACCAGAGTTCACATGTACTAGAGAAGGAGCCTAAGATTGGACCTTTCTTTGCCAAAAATCTCTTCTTCCCCCCCCCCTTAAAAAAAGAATACTGAAAACAATACATATATATATATATTTTTAAAGATTTTATTTATTTATTTGACACACAGAGAGAGAACACAAGCAGGGAGAGCAGCAGGAAGAGGGAAAGGGAGAAGCAGGCTCCCTGCTGAGCAGGGAACCCAATGTGGGGTTCGATGCCAGGACCCTGGAATCATGACCTGAGCCTAGCCTAGGCAGATGCTTAACTGACTAAGCCACCCAGGCGTCCCGAAAACAATATATTTTTTAAGTGATGAAGAGAACCTGGTACAGCTCCTATAGAAAAGATGCATTTGCTAATGAACCTGAGTTGGGAGTTCCTTCCATTCAGTCCTAGGGGTGTTTTTTGTGATGCTGAGGCCTTCTAAGAAAGCCCATGGGTCCTCCATGCTGGCCATGAAAAAGAAGGGAGTTGTGCATCTTGTCCATTGAATGTGATCCATCGGCTTCTCAAAAGAAAATTACCAGGGTGCCTGGGTGACTCGGTTAAGCCTCTGACTCTGATCTCAGCTCAGATCTTGATCTCAGGGTCGTGAGTTCAAGCCCAGCATTGGGATCCACACTGGACATGGAGCCTACTTAAAAAAAAAAAACAAAAAACCTATATCCAAGCTACAAAGGGAGTTTGACAGTTTGTTCTCTGGAGTTCCCTTTCAGAAGTTAGCTCTCAGCATCTTGCTGGTCTAAGAGAATTGGTAGAAAACCTGTCTGACAGGTTCATTTATTGACCTAGATCCTCCCAGGCTGTATTGCTCATGACTTTGCTAAGGGCTCTCCAGTGGCTTTCTTTGGAGTATGCATTAAAGATGAATAATTGTTAAATAAATAATTGTTAAAGACCTGTTGGCATGAGAAATTTCGTCTTCAGACAGAGGCCACACAGTCATCCACTTTTTAACCAGTTCAGACTACTGAAGATCAGTCCTCGTCAGACATTCAGTTTGGGAAAAGTATTTTAAAACGTGACAACGTAGAGGTTGGGAATGTCTATTGGAGTTTTTATGAAATGATTTTTTTAAAGATTTTATTTATTTATTTGACAGAGAGAGACACAGCGAGAGAGGGAACCACAAGCAGGGGGAGTGGGAGAGGGAGAAGCAGGCTTCCCGCCGAGCAGGGAGCCCGATGCGGGGCTCGATCCCAGGACCCTGGGTTCATGATCTGAGCTGAAGGCCGATGCTTAACGACTGAGCCACCCAGGCACCCCTGAAATGATTTTTTAAAAAACCAACAAAATATCCTGATAAATGGCCAAAGGAGACATTGAGACAGAAGAGTCAAAATGGTTCATAAATATATTATGGGGGAAAGTTTCTTCCGTTAATAGTCAAAGCAATACAAATTATAACAATGAGGTATCATTTTCTCATTAAATTAGAAAAAAATAGTAAAGCAGAATACTAATATGATAAATGCTGGTAAAACTGGTACTTTATTTTCCTACATTATTATTGGCAATGGAAGCTGGAATAATCCACATAGAAAGTATTTGGTTCATACCCCTTGATCCACTAATCCTATTTATAGGGACCTAGCCTAAGGAGATAATCCAAAATACATTCAAAGCTGTAGGTACAAAGGAGTTTGTGTGGGAATCTGGCAGCAACCTGAATGTCCAAAATATAGGGGAACAGAAGATTATAAACTACACCCCACCGGAAACATTACACAGCCATCAAATACTGGTTGTGAATTCTATAAGCCATGTTTTTAAAATAGTACGATACAATGTTAAATGAAAAAGAAAAAAGCCATCTCTAAAGAACTGAACCACATAAAGCAGGAGGCCAGATAGAATCCTACACGCACACCACTTCCCAGAAAGCACCTGTGCAACCCCCTAGGGCCCCATCATAATACCTGAGCACGCTTCCTTTACAGAAGGATTTTCTTTGTCCACTGGGGAAGGAGGGCAGCTTAGACTTTATCCTCAAGGAAATGGTATTTTATCACGAGTTGCGTCTGGCTCCTGAGGTCTTGGAAAGTGCTTGTCGGTTCTTTAGCTCATTGGACACCAGTAGCCCGGGGGCTGGGCAGGACTGTCACCCTCCAGTCACAGCTCACGACATTTGCCCAAGCTCACGCAGCCATAATTGGGAGGCTCAGGGTTAGAACTCCAAGGGTCGGTCCTCCATTTATGATCTCATCTTGTCTCTTGGCCTGAGGATACTTCTTAAGGTTGAGATATCATTACTCAATTTATTTTTAACTTTGCAGATTTCTGCCATTATGAACATGGTATCATGTTGCCTTTTGTCTTCTGCATTTATTTTTCTGGAGCCATTTAAGAGTATAGACTGATGACCCCAGAACCCCTAAATCCTTCAGTGTGTATTTCCAAAAGAAAGGGACCGTCTCTTAGGTAACCACCTACACCTTCCAGAAGCAGGGCAGTGGTGTCGCCTGGAACGATGCTGTTACCTGAGGGTGGACTTTACAGGGATGTTGTCGGTCTCCTGCCAATGTCCCCAATAGCAAAGGGATACCCTCAGCTTGTGTCTGACTTAGTTGTTGGGTCTCTCTATTGTCCGGCGATCCGCAACAGTTCTTCTTTCTCGGTTTCAGGACACTGACTTTTTTGAAAGGCACAGATCTGTGGTTTTGCAGAAGGTCCCTCTGCCGGGCTCTCCGGTGCTTCCCCATGGGTGGTTTCAGGGTCTGCACTGGGGCTGGAATCCCACAGAAGAATCTTCTTATTGCTCCCTCCCTGGGGACTTGGACTTGTTCACCTCTGGTGATAGGAATTCTGATCGCCTGATGAAGGTGTTGCCTGCCAGTTTTGCAGGGTAGTTACTGTCCTCCCCTTTGGTAATTAATAAATACCTCGTGGAGATAAAGGTCTTCCTACTCCTCAGACTTTACCCACAAGTTTAGCACACGTCAGATCTCACCGTATTCTGAAAGTGAATTCCGTTTTTTATTGCCTTTGTAAGGTTGTGTGAGAATGAATACTCAGCATCCAAGGGAAGGCCCTGGGTTGAGAAGTCCCTCCCACTCCACTGTCCGTGGCCGTTGAGGCAGCCTGATGCAGACACCCCGTATTTCACAGTCACGGGCATGTGCATCTGGGAGCATTTACAATACTCACCTGAGAAGGTGCCCGGAGCTGCTGTGGGCGCGGTCAGTTCTCCTCTGGTCTAGTAAGCCAAGTTGGTGGGAAGCCATCCCCGTCCCCCTGCTGAAGGTGAGCTGCCTTTCCAAAGCAGCTGTCAGCTCCTGTCAACCCCCCCACTGCTGGGTGGTGGGCTCCTGGACGACACTGGAGCAGGGTCCGTGAACCGTTCCTGCACCTGCGTGCCCGGGCACCCCCGCACCGGGTGTCATGGGGTGCCCTGTGAGCAGGGAGGAAGGCTGGGCTGGGGGGAGCCTCATTGCCCCCAAGTCAGAAGGAAGGGTCCTGGCCAAGCTAGCCACGTGAGGCAGTCATAGGGTTTCTTTGGGCAGGAGGTGGGAGTGCGTGTGGGCATGACCGCAGGCCCACCCACGCTCTGGAGGTTGCTTGGAGGTTCTGGAGGAAGAGTCCGTGGTTCCCAGGTTCACCGTCAAAACCCCTGCGGTGGGAAGCGGGAAGTTCTTTTTTTTTTTAAAGATTTTATTTATTTGAGAGAGAGAGAACAAGAGATAGCACGAGAGGGAAGAGGGTCAGAGGGAGAAGCAGACTCCCTGCCGAGCAGGGAGCCCG